AATGTAGTGAGATACAAAATTAATATTCAGAAATTGGTTGCATTTTTATTTTATTTTTACTATGCTCTTATTGATTGCAGAGAAAGGAAAGGGGGAGAGAGAGAGAAACATCAGTGATATGAGAGAAACACCAATTGGCTGCCTTCTGTATGCCCCCCCACTTGGAACTGATCCCACAACCTAGGTATGTCCCCGGACCAGGAATCAAACCATGACCTCCAGGTTCATGGGTCGATGCTCAACCACTGAGACACACCAGGTGGGCTTGGTTGTATTTTTTACACACCAATAACAAACTATCAGAAAGAAAAAGTAAGAAAACAATTCCATGTAAAATTTCATCCAAAAAAATACCTTGGAATAAATTTAACCAAGGAGATAAAAGATCTGTTCTTGGAAAATATAATAAGACTGTAAAGAAATTGAAAGAGATAAAAATAAATAGCTGCATATACCATGTCATGGATAAGAAGCAATCTATAGATTCAGTGCAATCTCTTTCAAAATACCAATGGAATTTTTTGCAGAATTAGAAGAAATAATTCTAAAATTTATATGGAACTACAGAAGATCTCAAATAGCCACAACAATCTTGTTTGACATATTACTGGAAGTGCTAGCCATAGCAATTAGACAAGAAGAAGAAATAAAAGGCATCCAAATTGGAAAAGAAGAAGTAAAACTGTCATTATTCACAGATGACATGATATTGTACATAGAAAACTCTAATGACTCCATCATAAAACTACTAGATTTAATAAATGAATTTGGCAATGTAGCAGGATACAAAATTAACACCCAGAAATCTATGGCTTTTTTTTATGCACCAATAATGAACTCACAGAAAGAGAAACAACAAAAACAATACCATTTACCATTGCACCAAAAAAAATTAAGATACTTAGGAATAAACTTAACTAAGGAAGTAAAAGACCTGTACTCAGAAAACTATAGAACATTGAAAGAAGAGATAGAGGAAGACATAACAAATGGAAAAACATCTTGTGTTCATGGATTGGTAGAATCAACATCATTAAAATGTCCATACTACCCAAAGCAATCTATAGATTTAATGCAATCCCCATTAAAATAACAATGATATATTTCACAGACTTATAGTAAACTTTCTAAAAATTCATATGGAATAAAAAATGACCACGAATAGCCACAACAACCTTGAGAAAGAAGAAAAAAGTTGGAGGGATCACAATACCAGATATCAAGCTATATTACAAAGCTACTGTTCTGAAAACTGCCTGGTACTGGCACAAAAACAGACATATAGACCAATGGAACAGAACAGAGAACCCAGCAATCGACCCAAGCTACTTTGCTGAATTAATATTTGACAAAGGAGGCAAGACCATACCAGGGGAATCAAGATAGTCTCTTCAATAAATGATGTGGGGAAAATTGGATAGTTACATGCAAAAAAATGAAACTAGACCACAAACTTACAGCATACACAAAAATAAACTCAAAATGGATAAAGAACATAAACATAACATGGGAAACCATCAAAATCCTAGAAGAATCCAGAGGCAGCAAAATATCAGACATATGATACTGAAGCAATATCTTTACTGATATAGCTCCTATGGCAGTGGAAACTAAGGAGAAAATAAACAAATGGGACTACATCAAAATAAAAAGCTTCTGCACAGCAAAAGAAACTATCAGAAAAATAATAAGAAAGCCCACTGCATGGGAGAACATATTTGCCAATGTTATATCAGATAAGGACCTAATTTCCAAAATTTATAGGGAACTCATACATATTAACAAGAGGAAGATAAACAGTCCAATCAAAAAATGAGCAAAGGACCTAAATAGATACTTTTAGAAAGTGGACATACAGAAGGCCAGGAGACATATGAAAACATGCTCAAAGTCACTAATCATCTGAGAGATGCAAATCAAAATGATATGAGATACCATCTCATACCTGTCAGAATGGCTATCATCAACAAATCAAAAAATGAAAAGTGCTGGTGAGGATGTGGAGAAAAGGGAACCCTTATGCACTGCTGGTGGGAATGCAGACTGGTGCAGCCACTGTGGAAAAGAGTATGGAGTTTCCTAAAAAAATTAAAAATGGAACTCTCATTTGACCCAGTAATCCCACTCTAGGCATATATCCCAAGAAATCAGATACACCAGTCAGAAAGGATATATGCACCTCTATGTTCATAGCAGCACAATTTAATTGTCAGAGAAATGTAAATCAAAATCGCAATAAGATATTACCTCATGCCTATCTGAATGGTTATCAATAAATCAACAAACAACAAATGCTGGCAACAATGTGTAGAAAACAGAACCCCCATGCACTATCAGCAGAATTGCAAATTGGTACAGCCACTGTTTAAAATAGTATGTATATTCCTTAAAAAATCAAAAGTGAAACTACCTTATAACCCAACAATTCCACTTCTGGGTATTTATTCGAAGAAATTGTAACAGTATTTCAAAAATATATATGCATTTCTTTGTTCACTGCCGTGTTATGTACAATAACTAAGATATAAAAGCAACCTAAATGTCCATCAGATGAATGGATAAAGAAAATGTGCTACATATATACAATGGAATATCACTCAGTCATAAAAAGGAATGAAATATTAATATTTGCAACCACAAGGATATACCTAGAGTGTATTGTGCTAAGTAAGTTAGGCAGAGAAAGACAAATACCATTTGAGTTCACTTATATGTGGAGTCTAAAAAACAAAATAAATGAACAAACAAAACTGAAAGAGATACAGAGAACAAACTGATGGTTATCAGGTGGAAATGGGCATTAAGGGCTGGATGAAAAAGGTGAAGAGATTAAAACTTACAAATTGGCTGTTACAAAATAGTCAGAGGGATGTAAAATACAGCATAGGGAATCCTATATAATAAAGAGGTAGTATGTAAATTGACCATCACTCCAACACACAAGATGGCCACCCCCATGTCGACACAA